CCGTTGCTATAGAGGGATACTGCAGAAGCTCTCCTTAGTTACGAATAACTAGTGTTGTAGGTAAAAATTAAACCGCTGCTATAGAGAGATACTGCAGAAGCTCTCCTTAGTTACGAATAACTAGTGTTGTAGGTAAAAATTAAACCATTGCTATAGAGGGATGCTGTAAGAGCTCTCCTTAGTTCCAAATAATTTGTGTTGTTGACAAAATAAACATTTGAATCAATAAACATTTCCTTTTATAGTCTGTAATAATAGTAATGATAAATCAATACTGGCTAGGCTGCACCTGTACAATAATTGTCACCTAACTCCAAAGATGTAATATTTTACATACTTTTTCTGCCATTTTTCAAAATAAAAATTTGGATAGGTTTTACCCTATTATTTGAAACCATTTACCCCATGGAAATCCAGGTCACGACCGCTTCTACACAATCGGTGAATATACTTCAGGGTTATGACCGCTCCTTCAGGATCGGTCGATATACTTCAGGGTCACGACCGCTCCTTCAGAATCGGTAGATATACTTCACGTGAATTGTATCCTTTTCCAAAACGCCTGTTCTTCAGCACTTGTTCTTTCTAATTCTCGTTCTATTTTCGAAACCTGTGTCAATAATTTTGAAATTGAAATTGTTAAATTTTGAAACCTCGGATATTTGTCACAGAGTTTGGCAAGTTGTCGTAATTTTCTACTCCAACTTACCGATATTGTTAACTCATTTTTCACAGTTGATTCGAAATTCCCGTGATTTAAGATATATAATTTCTGTAACCATAATCCAAAAGTAACATATTCTTTAATGGAGCAGGAGGCAGCTTGTTTTAAAAATCGATCGCAGTTGATCACAATATTTTGGACAGCTTCATCCCCAGTTTATCTGGTCATATGGTTCTGTCATGGGAATTTCTATATCATGTAGATGGGCTTTAAGTTTTTTTAACAAACCCTCATTGTGAGTAAGATTTTCACCAAATGTTAGATTTTTAGGCTTTTTACTAAGTTCTTCAAACTTTTCTATATGAAAATTCTTGGCCTCTTGGTATCCTCCAGTTAACAATTTATCCTTCAATTGCCTGTAATGGTTTAAATGTTCTACGTGATATGAAATGTTGGCATCTATTAAACTTGTGTCTGGAATAAAACAAATTTGATATTTTCAAAAACAACAAATAACATATCATCTTATTTCCAACCTGTCGTCTTATGATTGAATTAAACAAAGAAACTACCTTGATTTTGCATGATTAAATTCCTTATTTTCCAAATAACTCAAGTTGTAGACAAAGTAAATTCTAAATTTACCAATGAACTGACAATGACCTTCAAATGTCTTATTATATGACAAGAGAAATAACCCTGTTTTCATCTCATAATGTTATATTTTTCTTACACAATCTCCCTTCAATCATAATTATTCATTTTTAAGTTAACTAACAAATCAAAATTAATGTAAAAAGTCAATGTAATGTTGTGATTTTATAATGTTCACAAAACTGATGTATCTTTATACTGTAGGTAGACATGCTTTTAATAATACTTATTATTTTGAAGCCGACACATATTCCCACTTTAAGGTGTATCATTTGTTATTCTATTGTCAAACAAAGATATTGGTGTACTCCCAACCCAATCTGATTTCAAATACCAGTATAAACAAGAGCAGTTTATTCTGAAGAAATTAAACAGACAGTAAACAAGCTTTATATATCAGACCAAACGAAAATGTTCAAATTATCTTACCTCTATTATAAAATTGTGCTCAATACATTCTTTTCTCTGTCTGGATGTGTTAATTATCCTTCAATGGCACATTAGAAGCACAAGTTAAAGATAATTGAAACTTATTAAGTATCTATCCATAAAATTGTCTTATTTATGTGTTAAAATTGA